AAAGACTCACGCTACTAACACTAAGGTGTTGGTGCATGCATCTCTAATCTGTATGTATCTGATTATTACTAGTCATAATCGGTTGCACTTGGATCCTTGGTGCCTGTGTATGTCTATAAAGTCAGTTCACACTTCGCGCTCGTTCTTCGGACTTAGCTTATGTGCCCTATCTAAAAAGGGCTTTTTGACACCTGACATACTCCCTTTGTGTTTCAATTCCTGGATAGCCTCTCTGCAGGTTTATGTTTTATAATCATTAAGAAAATGAATTTTGGATCAGAAACCAGACTTTGCCACAAAATGACTGAATAGCCTTGGGCAATGAATCTGATAAAAATTAACACACAACATTTACTATGTAGAGGTAAGCTGTTCCAACTTCTTTACATGTGTATTAACTAATCTTTATAATTTATTTTGGGGCTTGTTTGTTTTGAAACTGTTTTGAAACTCTCACTATGTATCCTTGGCTAGACTGTAACTCACTATGTAAACCAGGCTAGCTGGAAATCTATGTGTATGTCTCTCCCTCCCAATTATTGAGATTAATGGAATTTGCTACCATGCCTTCCAGCTACATTACAACTCCAGGAGATAAATACCTAAAAGTGTAGCCCCTAATTTAAACTGCTGGCTGTACCATTACACGATTAGACAAGTTAGTTAACCTGTCTGTGCCTTAGGTTACTGAATATCTAAAATAAAGTAATATTAATCACTTCACATTGTAGAATTGTTTCATGTTGAGTAAATGATACAAATCAAGTACCTTTCTGTAGCTACTATTATCATCATTCTTTTTTTTATTTTTAAATGTTTATTTTGAGACAATGTCTCAGGCAGGCCAGGCCTACCTGTAACTTACTAAGTAGCTAAGGAGGATGACCTAGAACTTTGAATCCTCCTGCCTACAGCTCTTAGAGTGCTGCAATTACAGGGCTGTGTTTTGGTGCCTGGATTATATGGCTCTGGAGATCAAACCCAGGACTTTGTACGTGCTAGGCAAGTACTCTTAACAACTGAGCTATAGCTCCAACCCTTATTGTCCTCTTTAAATATATGATCATCCTCTATCAACTTACCTAAATGGCAAACTCCTTCAAACAAGGCAGTTTATTCTAATGGCAACTATATTGCTCTGTATAAAAAAGTTAATGGGGGACTGGGACTGTAGCTCAGTGGTAGGGTACTCTCCTAATACATGAAAAGGCCCTGGATTTTTATCTCAGCACCATAGAAAAGAGGGAAAATTTCACTGAATGTCTAAAGGTAATTTTGTACAAATGTAATCATTTCACCAACCTAATATTAAAGTGATAAGATCTGAGGCAGAAGGATTACTAACTAGTTCCAGGCCAACCTGGGCTACATAGCAAGTTCAAGGACAGTATGATCTAACATGTGGGAATATAATCTCAAAAACAACAAAGACACACACTCCTCGCCAAACAGAAGTGATAAACTCATTTACTCCAACCAAGTAACATACATCTTATAAATCTTTTTTTTCTGTCTTTATGAGACAGGTTATCCCTGTAGCCCCAGCTGACCTGGAACTTGCTATGTAGACCAGGCTGGCCTCCATCTCACAGATATCTGCCTGCCTCTGCCTCTAAGTTCTGGGATGAAAGGTAAACATCATCTCACCCAGCTTTCGTCTTTTCAAATTTGCTCTTTCAATCCTGTTTCTCTTTCTGTGTTTCATCCTTTTGTTTAAACTTCTTGGTTTTCATTAACACTCACATTGCACCTGTGCAGCTGCAGAGGCTGGAAGAGGGATTTGGATTCTCTGGAACTGGAGTTAAGGGTGGTTGTTAGCTACCATGTGGGTGCTGGGAACAGAACTTGAGTCCCCTGCAAGAGCAGCTAGTGCTCTTAAGCCCTGAGTCATCTGCAAGATTATTCTTATTCTTGGTTTAGTTATCATTAAATACAGATGATTGCTAAACCAGAATTTCCTATCTTAAATACAATCTTATAATTTTCCACCCCTAAAGCATTAAAGGTAACAAATTCAACACTAAATATTATCTTTCCACAATTCACTTTTTCACCTGTATTACTTATCTCAATTATTGGTGTTCCTCCAAAATCCACCCAGTGCTCCAAGCTAGAAACCTCAATCACTGTCAGTGCCTATCTTTGACTAAATCTCTGGACTCTATCTTTGACCTTGCTTCATTTCTACTGATACCTCCTTGTCTTGCTGAATGCCACCTCCTCCTCCTCGGTGCCCTTCCCTCCTTCCTTCTCTACTCTCCTCTGAAGTAAAAGCACAACTACTAGCAAATATATTTTTACAAATAAAAAATATGGACTGGAGAGATGGCTCAGTGGTTAAGAACACTGGCTGCCCTTGCAGAGGACCAGGACCCACATGATGGCTAACAACCACCCTTAACTCCAATTCCAAAGGATCCAAATACCTCTTCTGTACTCCATAGGCATTGAACGACATAGGTGCACTTACACACAGGAAATACACACATACACATAAAATAAAAAAAAATTATAAGTAAAAATTTTAAAATGTGTAAATCAGAAATACAACTATCTTCCTGTCATAGTTTACACCAATTGTCAACTTGGTGAGATCTAGAATCACCTTGGAGACAATTCTCTGGGCCTGTATGTGAGGGATTTTCTATACTAGGTTAATTGAGGTGTGGAGACCCACCCTAACTGCCACACTGAATAAAAGGAAAGAGTGAGCTGAACTTGGCAGTCATTGTGCTCTGTTTCCCGGTTGCAGATACAATGTGACCACTTGTCTCAAGCTGTCATGACTTACCCACCATGATGAACTGTACCTTTAAACTCTGAGCCAAAATACATCCTTTTTCTCTTAGGTTGCTTTTGTCAGTCATTTTATCACGACTTAATGAGAAAAGTAACTGATACTGATATACTTTCCCTCAGATCACTCATCATAGACAGCCTCGTGGCTTGTTGATGCCTATGAAATCATATCTATATATTAATTCAGAATCTTTGAATTTTTATTACATTTACTTACCATTTCTGTATGTGTTTGTGCATGTGTATGTGTGAAATTGTGTATGCAGATGTCACAGCACATGTGTGGAGGTCAAAATTCAGCCCGCAGGAATCGGTTCTCTCCTTCCATCCTATGGGTCTGGACTGGAGTTACCGACCATTGTTATCTGCCATGTGGGTGCTGGGATTCGAACCCAGGTCTTCTGCAAGAACAACCAGTGTTCTTAACCACTGAGCCATCTCTCCAGCCCAAAACTGACTTATTCTTACCTTTGAAAGTTCTTTACTGTAAATCTGTCTCTGAATGTATCTTTCTGCCCATTGTGTTTTCATAGTACTTTGCTACTTTCTAATAATGAATAGTAACACCCAGAGTTTAATAAATTTCCTGTACACTTGGCACTTTGTTAAACTCTGTACATAATCACATTTAGTCCTCACAAATTATGTGAGTTAGATATTATTAACTCCTATAGGTGAGATAACAACCTTATAAGGTTTTTTTTTTTTAAGCTTGCCCAAATTTACACAGCAAAAAGTCACTGAACCAACATTTGTGCTAGAGTCAAATGACAGAGCTCAAGGTCTTGGTATCTTGACCCTACCTTTGAGCTATATTGTTTACTCTTCAACAGCAGGAACAGGTTTTTATCTTTGTTTTTGTTTAGGCAACGCTAGATTTTTTTTTTTTTTTTTTAGTTCATAATATGCTTATTTTCTACTTATCTCAATCCAGGCTACTTCCTGTTGGAGAAACTTCCTCCTGTCAGCCTTGTTTTTCCTCCTGTAGCCTGGCAGATGAGAATGGAGCAGTCAGCACACAAAACTATGGTTTATACAGGCCTGGCCGTGGTGGTCCCAGGAGGCAGAGGCAGGCAGTTCTCTGTAAGTTCCAGGGCAGCATGGTCTACAGAGTGAGTTCCAGGCCAGCTGGGGCTACAGGGAGACCTGTCTTCTCACACACACACACACACACACACACACACACACACACACACACACACACACACAACAAAACAAAAAACTATGGTTTATGCATGGCGAAAGCCCTTGGTGATCTTATAGCATCCTTGAGGTTTCATGGGCTTTCCTATCCATGAAGTAGGAGTTGACTCTGCACCAGGAACTTATTGTGCTTCCCCTTCTCTTCTGGAGAGGGATAAAGGAGATCCTTCCAGGGAGGCATGTTCTTGAAGGGAGGTTGTCACCTAAGGAAAAGCCTAACTATGGTTTATGCATGGCGAAAGCCCTTGGTGATCTTATAGCATCCTTGAGGTTTCATGGGCTTTCCTATCCATGAAGTAGGAGTTGACTCTGCACCAGGAACTTATTGTGCTTCCCCTTCTCTTCTGGAGAGGGATAAAGGAGATCCTTCCAGGGAGGCATGTTCTTGAAGGGAGGTTGTCACCTAAGGAAAAGCCTTAGGCATTATTAAAACTTTGTTTTATAGTATATGATTAAATGATTAATAGTCAACCCACACATTATCCTTTTCATTCTCATGGGGTCTCTCTCTCTCTCTCTCTCTCTCTCTCTCTCTCTCTCTCTCCTTTCATCCCTTCTTTCCCTCTTGCTCCCCTGCACCCCAAACTCCTCAAACTCCTGGTCTCAAGTGGGCCTCTGCCTTCTGAGTAGCACTAACAAGTGGATGGGGCCATCCTAGCTCCACTTCCCTGTTGTTCTTCAAAACGGGTCATGTTGTTAAATTATGCATAAATTATGCCCCCAAACCCACACACCTTCCTGATACACCCCTCAGAAGGTATTGCAATTTCTTTTCCTTTTTCACACAACACTCTGTGGTCATTTTCACTCTGAAAAACCTTGTTTTGTGGCTGGGTGGCATGGCAATGCAGAATTGTAACAGTTTTTCCTATTTCAACAATTTCCTTTCTTTTTATAGAAAATTTCAAATAACATTTACACATTCATTTGTTTAGATACAACAATCTAGTCAAGTACATAAGCTGAAATTATTACCCTATTTTCTTTTATTGTGTTGTATATCTCCATTGTATTACTACTACTACTATTACTATTATTATTATTATTATTATTTGTATTTTTGAGACAGGGTCTCCCTGTAGCCCCAGCTGGCCTGGAACTCACTATGTATACTAGGCTGGCCTCAGAGAGGATCACAGAGATCTGCCTGCCTCTGCCTCCTGAATGCTGGGATTAAAGCCATGCGCTACTATGTCTGGCTTCTGTTGCATTTTTAAAAAATAACTCCCTAGTTTATTTTTATTTTTTATCTTATTTTGAAAACAATCCTTTCTGACATGTATCCATTTCTAAATTATCTGAAAGTGCACTGAAACTACCTATATTTGTCTATAACTTTTAAAAATACAGATGCAAGAATGCTTAGTAACATATCAATATCTATATCTATATCTATCTATCTGTCTATATTTTTTTGCCTTTTTTGAGACAGGGTTGCCCTGTAGCCCCAGCTGGTCTGGAACTTGCTATGTAGACCAGGCTGGTCTCAAACTCACAAAGATCCACCTGCCTCCGACTCCCAAGTGCTGGAATTAAAGGCATGTGCCACCATGCCTCGGAAAATATCAATATTTAAGCACACTAACAAAAGAGAACTTGTAGGGTTTTTTTTTCCTTTTTGTGATAGTGAACTCAGGACCTTCTGTAGAGGACAGCACTCTGTCACTGAGCTCACTCTGTCACTGAGCCCCATCTCTAGCCCTTTGTGGATTTTGTTTAGTTGAGGAAGGATTTCACTAAGTTGCTTAAGCTGGGTTTGAACTTGCCTCTCTAGTAGCTGCAGTTACATACATCAGAACCAGTTTATATTTGACATACATCAGAACCATTTATATTTGATATGCATATAAACCAGGCATATCCCTCAATCAAGCCCAAGATAAATAGCATACTAGTGCACTTTTGGATCAAAAATTTTAATGTCAAAATGGTCCAAAAAGAGTTAAAGGTGCTAAGGATTAATTTCACCGATCCCTTTTCCTATCTTTTATACACCTATACATGCATGCAGTATGAGTGAATATGAACAAAACACTTATAATACAGGCAGAGAGCTGCTAGAGTTAGAGCTATTATGACTCTGTAAGAGGTCCAGGGTAAAGAGGAAGCACGTGAGGGGTGTTGGCGGTTTGAAGTACACTGACTATCCAGTCTGCCCTGTGTTCAGAGATTGACCTGGGCCTTAAGATAATTTTAACTTCCTTGTGTTCTATTTTGTTGCTCTATATTTGCTTGTTCTACTATTTTGTAATCAGGACAAAGTGGGAGATTCAGCTAGTTCAAGAATGCTTATATAAACTGTAAATCCAATCAAATGTTTAATATTTTTCTTCTGTAAACACAACTGATTTCTACATGCAATCATTTTAAAGATAAACAGTAGGTCAGCTGCAGAAACAGGTTGGGCCTGGGAATAAGCAATGTGATTACACTTAAGCACAGGGACTAAGAAAGCAGAGTTCTGGGTGGGGCCTGGGGATGAGTCACCTGGCTAGGGACCAGACATGGCCAGTCCTAGGCATCCTTTTCCAGGAAGGCTCTGCAGCACCCGACACAGGACTGACACATCAGCTGTAAGAAAGAGTCATTCCACGATAGGCGTCTTTGTAATGAGATATTATGGATTATATTTCCAAGATGTAGTTGCATTTTTTTAGACCTGTAGTTTTTTAAAAATATATTTTTATTTTATGTATGAGTGTACTGCCTGCATGTATGTGAGTGGACCTATGTCGTACAATGCTGCGGACGTCAGAAGAGGGTGTTGGATTCTTCTGGAACTGGAGTTAAGGACAGTTTGTAGCCACCATGTGGGTGCTGGGAATCAAACCCGGGTCCTCTGTAGGAGCAGTCCATGAGCCATCTCTCCAACCCCAGCTCTGTAGTTTTTAAAACTTGATTTCTTTCTTTCCTTCTTTCTTCCCTTCCTTCCTCCCTTTCTTTTTTTGATACAGGGTCTTGGTATGAGCCCCTGGCAACCTGGAGCTCACTATGTAGATCATGCTGGCCTCAAACGTATACTGTGCCTCCCAAGTGTTGAGATTTTAGACATAGGCATCACTATCCAGCTTAATTAATTTCAAATAGCTTAGATCATGCGGAAGAGCTGCCATGGCCATTAAAGGCCCCACTCAATCAAATAGCTTTGATTGATTTCATCCACATATAGTACTTGTGGCAAACTCTTGCTTGCTAAACTTCTGTTGTTATGTGACACACCAGATCAGCATGCTTCATGCATCTCTGACCTTGATAGGGGTTTCCCATTTCAAACATAGACATGGTTACACTGTCTATCCGCCAACTATCTGAAGCATTTTGATGATTTTTGGTTTTCTAAAAACCTACCTCTGCAAGGGGTGACCAGGAAATATGGCTCAGACACACCAAAATACCTACTTGGGCTCCTGCTCAACCGTCCTCACTCACCCAACACAACCTTATTTTATAGACTGAAAATGAGCTAACTGGCTAGAGAGCTGGTTTATCAGACAAAACATTTGTCTTGCAAACCTGAGGACCTGAGTTCGCATTCTCAGAATCCACTTAAAGTCAGGTGTGATAGCATGAGTCTGTAATCCCATCACTCTTAAAGCATGATGGGAGACAGACAAGAAAACCTCAGGGAAGCTTGAGAGCCAGCGAACCTGTAGTATGCAGCCAATGTTGAACACGGAAGAAATCCATCAAGGTGGACAGTGAAGACAGAAACCTGAGGATGTTTTCTGACCTCCACATATGCATCCACAGTCACACACGTACACATACACACACAAAATGAGTCCGAGAGTGAAAAAGAGCTTTTCAGCTTAACACAGCTAGAAAAATACTAGAGCCAGGACTTGAATTTGGGCCTTCCATTTTAAATTTTTATTTATTTATTTTTATTGTGTTGTGTGAGTAGGGGCACACAAGTCGAGGTCAGAGAACAACTTTCAGGAATGAGTCCTTCCCTTGCAGATTCAGGGGATCAAGCTCAGGTGGACAGGCTTTGCATGGCAAGCACTTTTACCGGAGCCATCTAACCGGCCCTGGGCTTTCTAATTTGTAGGTCTTAGACTCTCTTAAGTGTGATATGTCGTCAATTTTACCTCTTTCAGGATTAGAATAAAAGGGAAACAGTAAATTACAAGATTTAGCTAAGGGAAAGATCTTACCAAAAGGAAAGAAACTCAGGGGAGGAGAAACCCGGAGTTGGTTAAAAGAACAACGCAAGCAGAGCTATTTGTGGGGGAGAAAGCTAAGTTCCGAGGAAATGAAGAAGTAGGATGTGGAAGAGAAACTCAGTGACGGAAGCAGAAGAGCAGGCAGCGGTGAGGAAGGATTAAAGCCTAAGTAGTTCCTGGGATGGGATTAAGTCAAAGGATCACACAGCCTCAGGGCAGCGGAGGGACCAGGTGAGAGCCCGAGGGGGCGTGGCCTCAAACCCCGGACCGCGTGCAGGCCCCGCCCCTTCTCTGGCTGGCTCCGCCCTCACCTCCCCTCCCCGCCCCCGGTCTCTTAGGTGATGCTGCAGCCAAGATGGCGCTGTCGGCGGCCGCGGTGGCCTGAGCGTCATGCTCTGGGCTCTCGGCGGCGGCTGCGGCGGCGGCGGCTGTGGCCTCGGCCAGGGCCTCGAGTCTCTCCCGGGAGTGAGCGCTCGGGCGCCTCTCCTCCAGCCGGCTGAGGCGGGACGGGGAGAAGACCGCGGCGAGGAGGCGAGGCTGTGAGGACCGCGAGAGCGCGGCGCTCGGGTGCCGGGCACCATGGCCGGGATCATCAAGAAGCAGATCCTGAAGCACCTCTCCAGGTCAGCGGGTGGATGCGGACCGGTGCGGGCGGGTGCGGGCGGCGGCCCGCGGGCTGCGCTATCCCCTCTCGGGGCCGGCCTCCTGAGTCACGCCGCCGGCGGCGGGGGCTGGGCGGGCGGGGGTCTCTGTCGGGGGCCACAGTCGGGGGCGTCGGTGCGCGGAGGCCGGGGCGGCCCCTGGCGTCACCCTGCACCTGGGTGCACGGGGTGCGCTGGAGCGACTGGGCGCGGAGCAGAGCGGTTCCGTTAACCGAGGGTGTGCAAGTGTGTGTGTGTGTGTGTGTGTGTGCGCGCACTCGGGGCTGAGGCGGTCTTCTTTCCCAGTGAAACATTAATCTTGTGATTGTTCTCTGTCCCCCACCTCGCGTTCCCGCTCTGATGCATGGGAGGGTGTGCCTGTTTGCACAGTTAGGATTTGTGTTAGGTAAATAGGCAGAGTTCTCAGTTTTGGCAAGTTCTTTCTGGAGTCCTTTTAGCCTCACATCGTTCTTGCTGAGTTTTTGTTTTTGTTTAATTTTTATTTCATCCGAGACCCTTTAGTTCAGGGAGTTAACATCTCTAAGTGTTTAAACTCCAGACGTGTCATTCTTTCCATTTCATAACACAGTTTTAGTCAGAAACATGACTCAGTAAGCTGGCAGTTTGTTACTGCTCTTGGCTTCTCCATATTTGTCTCAAGACACAGGCTAAATGTAGGATCCACTTCCAAGTTGATGACAGGGATTTCAAAGCTCTCTCGGTTAGGATCTCTTTTTCTCCTCTGTTATTTGTAAGTTAACGATTACTCTTAACTGATTAAAGGAAGATACTCAGGTGTAATGATAGACTTGTGTAGTAAACACAATTCTTCATTCTCCAGACTTGTTTATACTACAGGTGATATATTGGAAATAAGATTCCAATATGATTCAGCACGTTCTTGACAGAACATTGAATAAGATACTGTATATATGCGTGAAGTGGCAACTCTATCAAAGTTTGTGCTATTTACTTCTTAATGCCATTAATTGGAAAGAGTGTGTATATGTGTGTGTATTTATCTTTCTCTATACAAATATATGTTTCTGTATATATATATAAATATATATTTTAAATACTTTATTTTTATTTTATGTGTATGAGTGTATTACCTGCATGTATGTAAGTGCACCTGGGTCATACAGTGCCCTCAGAGGTCAGAAGAGGGTATTGGATCCCCTGGAACTGGAGTTACAGATGGTTGTTAGCCGCCATGTGGGTGCTGAGATTCGAATCTGGGTCCTCTGCAAGAGTAGTCAGTGCTCTTACTCCTGAGCCATCTCTCCAGGCCAGCCATATATATATATATATATATATATAATGTTTTGCCTGAATGTGTGTAAATATACCACATATATTAT